TAAAACTAGACGAATTGCTACAGAATAACAAACAGAATCTAAACTATCTACATATTTGCTTCTATTTCACTCATTATTATTTAATCATTAACTACCTCATCATTACTTCATTTAATCCTCACATTATATTTATATATAATGGCAATCTTTGTCAGCATCACACAAATAAGCATCCTATTTTTTTCTTTGTCTTTTCCAATTTACCTACAATTCTGGACCAAAATCCTTGTTTCAAATCTCACTTTCCATTCATATAATAATATAATATTGTTATGTGCATATGTACAACAATTGATGGAATCATCTGCAGATGTGCAATTAATGCTACGCAAGAAGAAGAAAAAAAACGAACACTTTAGTTCATACCTAAAATCGTCGGCAGCCCTTCTTCCGTTCCAAATTTCTTCTTTCTTTTTTTTTCTTTTGTGAATTAATTAAGTACTAATTGTGATAGGTTTTACCCACATATTTTATTAAATAAAGGCTAAATAGTATAGGATCTTAAATAAATTATCACTTTAGCCCATAAACTATCGATTAAATAACTTAAGTTAAACAAATATTGAAAACTCTAAAGAGGAGCTTTTGGGTCATTACAGTCTTCTCCTTGTCGAGTTTTGTTTCTGATCTCTCTTTGAGTCTCTAGTTCGTTACCTTCTACTACCGATCTTCTTCCTCTGCAACTCTACTTTGTGCTAGGAGTTTCTAGTGACCTTAATTGATATCCAAAATCATTCCCAAACTAAAAAATTTACCTTAACACCTAAGAAAATTTAGGAGTCACTCAACACGACCTTATACACAATTCAAGAATGGTTTGTGCTTAACTTAGAAATTTTCGGAATATTACAGTCATGACCTTCACAAAAGTGAGGCCTGCAACACCAGAAAACAAAGCAAACTCTCAGAACATTGAAAGGACACTCAAGATTCGTTCGGAACCCCGTGAATACAAATCATATATGCAAATTAATTATACTCAACGTTTTGGACTCAACGAAACCGTCAAAACATGAATTCAAGGTTTCTTTGACCCGTCATCCCTGAAAACCACAAGAAACTAACTCACGCCTAAAAAGATCAAAATTAAACTAGCTTGGGACCTCTTAAAAATTGACCAAGATCTCACTTGGGCATAAAATCATTCTTCAAATTCAACGTAACTCTCGAAACTCCGATTCGAGTATTCAAACCTCGAATATTGACCAAAGTCCATCCAAGCTAAATTTTCACAAATTCACAACATAGGACCTCAAATCCTATAAAAGACTTGGAATCTGAGACCAACAACACTCAAAACTCATATTCCATATTTCCGGACTGATGGAATCATTGGAATTGAACATTTGAAACTTCAAAAGACCCCAAAAATCGCTTTCTTAACAATATATGTCTTTCAAACTCAAAAGTTACTAAATTCTAAACTTTTAACTTAAAGTTCAAAACCAACTTCTTAAACTCAATCATGAAAGACTCGAGGACAATCACGAAAGAAAAAAAGGTAAATTATGAGACTTTCCAAAATACGGATCATTACATTCATAAATTT